CAATGGTTCCAAAGCTTCCATTCTCTCCGTCTCTGTTAAAAGTGTTTCTGATTCTCCTCAAATGATTTTTGACTCGCCGACCCTTCATTCCACAAATTCTCTCTCCTCTGGGTTTATCCGTAAATTCTTCTCTTGTGCTGCGCGCAAAGTAGATTATCGATTCCGCGCAAAGCGTTTCTTTACACTCAAGCAAAGTTCAATTCTGCCCGATGCTCGAATAATACAATCATGTATGGGGGAGGAGCTTGGTAGTCCGCTCTTTCTCTCCTCGACCGTATTCAACGTAAGGCCAAACGGTTGATCAACGAACCGACTTTAATTTCCAACCTGCAATCGCTTTCCCATTGCCGGGCAGTTGCTTCGTTATCTCTTTTCTATCGTTCATATTTTGGTTTCTGCTCTTCCGAACTCGCTCCTCGTCCATCTCGTTCTCAGGCGGGTAATCACCCTTTTCAAGTTTCTGTCCCCAGATTTCGGGTCTCTATCTTCCAATCCTCTTTCTCCTCCAGGACTGAGAAATTGTGGAACACTCTTCCCATCTCCGTGTTTTCAAGCGATGGTAATCTTATTCTTTTCAAAAACCGGATTAAAAAATTGATTCTCACTTGAATGTCCGTCCACAGAACTTCCCTTGTACAGTAGATCATTGATTATGGGGTTTACTCCCTTCGGCTGTGCACCACGTACTGATTCTCCGTAATCTATCCAACGGTTATTACATCACAGATTTGGTAGGAAATATCCATTACAGATTGGGAAAACCAAATTACCTGTTACCCCATAACTGGATGTTGCTCGCACTTTAGCCACCAATGCGTAAACAAAGTGCGTGAACAGTATTATTCGATGGTGAAAGTGAAACATGGTTTCAGTACTGCGCTGATAGCTCCGAACCCGGAAATTGAGATTGTCAGTTAACATCACTGGGAGGGGGGGTGTAGAAACTCCCTGGAATGCGGATCAATCCTATCATGGTGCACTGGAGCATGTACTAAAACACTTTTGCACAGTACATTAACCTAACTAACCGCACCGAAAATCCCTCTGAACTTGGCTACCTACCACTTCGCCACCGAATGTGCTCTCGTTTCATTCACATTGAAGTACAATCGACTGCACACAATCTGAATGCATGGGGTAAATGTTGATGGTATTGCCATTTGGGTCGCTGTCACAGGTGTGCGTTGAGTGCCGTGATCCAAGGTTCACGTCCTTTTATCACTACGATGATCACAAAATATACCCATTGTTCTGTCAGAGAAGCCTGAAAGTGGCAACGACAGATGTTTTTTTCCGGTACCAATATAGTACAGACCAATATAGTACACAATTGAACAGCCTTGTTATTCAACAGTCCCTAAGAAAATGGTTTACGCAACAATTGATTGCAAGGGGGATATGCTAGCCGAAACGCTAACCCGTCGATTGTTCCACGCCATTGAAAGAACTTACTTTGTTTCTAAACTCTGTCTCTCCTTTACTACGAAGCCTATGCAGCAGTTACCACTCAAAAACAAGTTGCCTAGTCAGTCTACCTCATTTTGTGTGTACTCTTATTCGTGCTCCTGTGGAGCGGAATACGTTGGAAGGACCACTAGGCGATTGTCAGAGAGAATTCAAAAACACTGGCTATCAAAAGGGATCAATAAAAATGCGACTATATTGCCATCCTGGCCCACGCACTCGACACGAGTCACTAACTGACACGTAAGGGGGCATTCAAAGTAATCTAATCTACCGGGTAGCATAAAACCGATCAAAAGGGCTGAGACAAAGAATTCTGAACACAGCCGAAGTGACCGCGATCAGGCTAAACCAACCAATACTGTGTTCACAAAAACAATTTGTCAAGACCCTACTGTTGCTCTGGCCTAAGGTCAGTAGGATCGTGAAACAAACGCATCAGTTTGACTCATCCTTGATTGGTCCATCCGGACACAGTCGTCAACATCAATCGTCACAGTAACTGTATGAGTACTTACGCTACGGATCATCACGCTATGCTGTGTCTACGTGTTCGATTGTGTGTGCTGTATTGGCCTGATGATAAGTACCGAAAAAACAGACCTATCTTTGCTATTTTTGGACTACGATGATCAATTAACTTTGTAAGGAAACAACTCCGCTGTAGTCCAAATCAGTAAGTGTTTTACTGCAGCCCGTTTTTCCAGTTCCCATAGAAGAGCGAGACTATCGTGTAAATACTGTTCACTTCTCCCATTGCTCATCACATACTAGTGCACGAAAAGAAAAACAATTTGTGTGATAAACTAGAAAACACGCGAAAAAAGTGCGAAATTGAAATGACCCACACTCACTTTGATCGATAATGCATACATGTGATTGACCATGACGTGATCCGGTTGTGGCAGCAGATTTGGGTCACACTGTACATTGGTATCACGATTCAAGATTACCTATGTTTGAAGAAAGAAAAACAGGACAACCAGTGGAGGCGGGTGACACATCTCACATACACACACGCCGGAAAACAGAAAGATATACCTGTGCTAACTTGAGCTTGTTGTATCCGCCGTCCACATCTAGTAGTTATCTAAATAAGTTTCAATTAAACTTATATACATATATATATATATATATATATATATATATATATATATATATTACAATAAGTAGTATATGAGTGACAAATTTCTCTGGAAGCACACAATCGGTTTCGCGATTTGTGCCGCTCGTCAGGCATGCGTTTTTCCGATAATCTTCGTTCATGTACTTGTATCGAGGGAGTGTATTTTCGTCAAAATAACCTCCTCGGCAAAACCGGGTTAATA